TATATATATATATATATATATATATATATATACACACACACATACATATATATATATATATTATTCCATTTCTCTTTCAACGTAGTTGAATACGTAATCCGCAAGAAGAAAAAAAAAGTGCTATGTAATTTGTAGGAAGGTAAAGAAGCAATGAGACGACTACTTCGATCGATTTGAACTTATAGTTATACAAATCGGATTTTATAGATTATCACTTGTTGATAATTTTGCTATGACGTATGATCTCTGATCAGAGTAAGGATGTAAGTACAGAAATATAGAATAGTATTTACAGTGGTGTCTTTATTGTTGAAGCGTTGAATGTGCTTCATTGTTCACTTACAAATCAGTCCACTTTTTTTCAGTTTCTCACTTCTTTTTCACGAATTTCTTTTTACGTTTTTGAGAACCATTGAGGAGAGAGGGGGGGAGGGGGCTAATAATGATCGAACAAATGCAAGTGATGACGATTATTTCACGCGCGCGAACGTGCTGCAGAAAACAATATGCAATTCTGCAAGCGATTCTTCACTTCTATCTTATTGCATCTACATCTCTTTCTATTCGTTCCGATCAACGATACATTCGCGCCGAAGGAGCGAGACAGTTAAACGATGATCCTCCGTCGTAGTTACAGCATCTCCTGGTCGTCCTGTGGCAATTTTAATTTCACCACCATTGTATTCGGAGTCGTGACGTCGGCGACGTTTATCTCGCTACCGTCTCTCAAGCCTAGATCGATCAGCGACTTGGACAGGTTCTCGCGGGTTCTCTTCTCTATGCTGGACACCGTCTGCATGTACAGAGTCTTGTTTTTGCCGTTTACGTTCGCGGTGAGGCCGGGATTCTTCATCTGCAGGTCCGGCCGATTGCAAAGAAGCTCTATCAGATCCTGCAGTTTATACTTCGGGTCTTTGATCTCGATCACTATCGGCACTTGACTGCACGCCAGGCAGTCCTCCTTCCTCTCCGCCTCGTAAGTGTACGTGTAGACTCCGTCCAAATTATTTAACACCTACGAATAAAAAGTACTAATAATTCTTACCGCTCACGTCCCTTCGTTCCAGTTCGTTTTTTTTTATTTCGTCAACAAACGCGGATTCTCAAATAAAGACGTATATTTTTTTTTCAAATAGAAGTGTGTCATACAGTTTTCGTTATTTATGTGTGTTCTGAAGAAACGCCCGAAATATTTTATCTCGTGATTAATGAATGAGTAACCTTCAGAAGGGTATATTTTGCAAAAGCGCATCTAGGAGCATTTAATTTCTTCGCACATGCATAATCCAACAAGGAAAGGATCAGATCTTGTTATCATCGATTTCGCTTAAATTGGAATATGTATAATAACCTCCTCCTTTCCTTCCCCCTCCAAATAAAAAAACAAAATATGATTTAAAGCTTCTGTATATTCACTGCAACTGTTCTTGCTTGATGACGTCAGAAGCAAGGAGGCGCATGCCGAGAATTTAGCCGGTTGCAATCCCGCGATTCACATCAACATTCGCTCCATTGTGCGTCGTATGTTTGTCGCAAATTACCATGTAGTTGTTCAAGGACGCGCTACAGCTGCTCGCGAGCTTGAACGCTTCCGTCGCACAGATCGCGGCGATAACGGCGTTCGTCGACGCTACCGCCGGTATGATGTTCTTCACAACACCCTGCACGAGCCTGTACGTCAAGCCCTGAATTCCGAATTGCGCCGCCCTTTCGTTCGATTTCTCATAAATCCAGTTGATATGCTGCGGATCATCCCCGTCTATCGCGCAGTCGAATGGATTTTCCTTCGGCCACTGCATCACCTTTACGTATTCTATACAGTGCTCCGGCAAGCGTGGAGTATTGGCTATCGTACATAAAGGATATGTGACCTATGTAAGGCACAAACAAGCTTCTAATACACGATATATATGAGCTTTGTCCGTCGACAATACTGAAAGTGACTTTCACCAAACTCTGATTAAGGGGATGTATTTTCATGTTGGAACGTTTTCCGTTTGGTCGGCGGTTTGTAGAAATTTCCCTTGGAAAAGCTACAAGGCACGCTATTCTAAAGTTCTGCATAAATACTTATCTATATTTTAACTATACACAGAAATTTCTACACATCATTATCTTCAATATCGATCAAGTTATGAGTAATTTTGTTAGCGCTGAACGCAAAAGATTAAGAGGAGATAGAAAGCGTAGACATTTTTTTATATAGATAAGTGTTTACACAGAACTTCAGAATTGTATGTATTAGTTTTACCGAGAAAATTTTCAAAAATTACCTAGAAAATGAAAATGGCATTCCAAATGAGAATATCCTCTTAAACTAATCAACGAATAATAATGAGTTACCAACACCAGTTTCCAGTTCTAAAAATAGTTCAACAATAACTGGAAAGTTAGAGTTTGGCGAGAGTCATAATGAGTTTCACAAACAAATATCGAGGATAATTTACCTGTGGAGGATACAGGTCCAATGTGCAATCGATGCACGGACTGATACCAGGTAATATAACACGAGCGTTCCCCTTAAAACCTTCGGTCCCACCGTCGATCATTGGTATGATACTGTTCTTGTCTAATTCACCGTTTTCATAGACAAGCAACGACAATAGCATGCCATTGATCCATCTTCTCGCGACTATAGAGTCTAAGCCACAAATTATCATGTGGAACTGTCGGTAGAACTCCTCGTCCTTGGCTTGTATCTCGCAGTTGTGCGGGATCACGTTGCAACCTGCGATTCTGCTGTTTATGAATCTCGCAGCCACCTCAGCCTTGTAAGACCCGATATCTTTGTGGCGGAACAAAAACTGCCTGCAACATTCCGTGTGCTCATGTTTGAGTTACTTCTTGCGTATGAAAAAAACTCATAATTAAAAGAAAAAAAATTATTCCCTCAAGTAAAAATTAGACGATGGCTGGGTTCGGAGGAAAATATATAAGACTCGACTTATGAATGCCGGCATGTGTCAAAACCGAGCATTTCGTATATAACCTAACCTACCGATTGAGGTTAGACAGTTCTATCGTGTCCATGTCGATCACATGGATCTGTCCGAATCCCATCAGAGCCAGATTCTTCAGCAGCTCGCATCCCAGACCACCAGCACCGATCACAAGCAGCTTACAGTTCTCCAGAAGAAACTGCAGATTCTCGGAACAAGGCTCGAAGTCGGGCCGGCAAAACGGGCCCGATCTCTCGAGTACTTTCCGCAAATTGCCCCACCGTCTGTGATCGGAACCCATCGTCGCCGACCACTTGAACTGAAATTCGAAGACCGAATCGGAATAACACCCTCGATTAACGAAGTTTTATTCGAGCACAACACAAGTTGGAAGACGCACGTTTTCAATTCGCGGCCTTTCCTTCTGATCAACAGAAAACTTCTTTTATGAACCTGTTATTGATTTATTCCTGTTTTTTTGTTCTTCTTTACAGCCTATAATTGTATACAAACAACACCTTAAATTCGCAATAATTTGTTTTAGCAACAACTTCTCGCGAAGTTCACCAATGGTCCAGTTTCCACTGAAACTTTCGATCTTCAGTGAGCGCGTTCCACTACACGCTCGCAACGCTCAAATCATCCCTCCAGTCGTTCCATTAATGGCGTTTCCGATTTGCCGACTCGACTCGGGCGGCATTCTGATAATCTTTGCAGTACTGCAGTACTGCAATCTATAGTTCATGTTACGTATAGTTATAGACCGGCATTCACGCCTTTTGATATTCAGGACCACTTTCACCAACTCCGATTAACTTGACCGACTGATTAACTCAACGGAAAAATTGACCAATTGCATCGATCAGTTTAGCTAATCGGCTTAATATGATTGGTCAATTCACCGTGGCGTCACAGGAGAAACCGTGGCCGGTCATATATGACCAACGTGGCAGTCAAAGTGTTAATGAAATGAACCGTACATCATCTGAAGATGAACTCAAGACGGTCTCATAGGATTCGACCTCGGCTTCCAAATTAGCGCCATTATTTCGCGGAAATTGAGAGCAAAATCAAGTATTTTGTTCTCATCACGGAAAATGTCATGTATATCACGTGATAAATATATTGTATAATAATTTCATGTTCGATTCGATTTTCAATTAATTTAATTAGATCTGAATATCTCCTCAAATTAGAATTTTTTCTAACAATCACGCTTTCTTACTTTATTGGATATTTTACATAATTATTGAATTATTTTTATCGGATCTTTTCTCAAGGATTTTGTGGATTATAAAATTCCACCGAGCAGATCAATGATTACGCGTGCAAATGTGTGATTGCACAGTACAGGAGGAAGAATAAAAATCAGTTTTATCGTAGAAAAATGTTTAATTTAAGAGATAAGCTTATATACGTTAGTAATACCAAAGAAACAGAAAACTTACAACGTGTGTAATAGAGAACATTTTTTTTTATAACAGTCATTACATTAAATAACAAATTATAAAAAATTCAGAATTCCGTCCTATTTTGTCGCATCAGCCCGCATCACGTGTGGAAAATTTGGTTTACAACGCGGTCTGTCACGTCGAACTCGAAGCCCAAAATAATCACATTCCTGCTTAATTCAGCTGATGCGACAAAACTTTCGATCGACATTATACGGTGAAAATAATAAATATTTACACATGACGACGTATTTATACAGAAAGTCAGTACCGCGCAAGAAAGTTGGTATGATTGTCAAACCTCCACGAGTTGACAGCTCTCTCTCTCTCTCTCTCTCTCTCTCTCTCTCTCTCTCTCTCTCTCCCGCACCCACACACACACACACACACACACACACACACTTTTTTTCTCTCTGAATCGCACAATTCTCTCGCATACAGATATACGTATGTCCACATACACCATACACACACATGCATATAAGCTACGTTATATATATAATCGTTTTCATTACATATAAAAAATACATTTATATGTATAAAATAAATATAATCATGCGGCAAAAAACATATGATGACGTTCGACTGATTTATCTCGGCGATCACACTCTCCGTAATCACTATCTCCTTAAGTAACCCCGGCGTGTAAGTAAAGGATTAAGTTAAAAAAGAAAAAAGAAAAAGAAATAAAATAAAAATAAAGAAATCCGTGTGGAATTTGACCGCGCAAATTTGCACGATCATCATCAGATGATTGGATCGTGGTCATATGCAGTATTGTGTGTATCCACAGTCGGTTGCAGGGAACCGAAATTTCCAAGCATTTGTGAAATTATGTGTGAGTGGCATAATTTTCGGAAACCAACCATATATATATAAATATATACGCACACACATTACGTGTACATATATATATTCACAAATTTACACATGCTCGCACACAAGCACACACGCAAGCATGCACCGCACATATACGCATCCGTATACACATTAAATAAATAAAAAGAGGATTTATCAAACAATAATATATACTTAATCTGGCTCCTGCCGGTCGTTCAGCAAAACAATGATAAATAAAGCCGTTTTGTACAAAACGAAAGATTAGTAATCCTCGTGTCTAATCTTATATAAAATTGTCGCATACTATGAGGAACCGAAATAATAACGCTATTTCACGAAGGCGAGCAAGTCTTAATGAGTCTTCTTGCCGCCGTTAGCGAAAACGGCTCTACATCGAAATCGATTCTCCCATGTAGAACTCTCTCTCTCTCTCTCTCTCTCTCTCTCTCTCTCTCTTTCTCTCTCTCACGTAGTGCAGAATAAATGAAAAATAAAATCTTGTCACATTATTAGAGATGTGTTTACATATGTTACTTATCTCGTGACTTATTAATATCTTGCATTCTCTCTCTCTTTCTCGTGCACACACACATACACACACACGCGCGCGCGCAGTCTCCTGCCATTTATCTAATTTTCGCCGTTATTTCAAACATTACTCATACAATGCGATAGCATTGAATCAAAGTAAGTTTACGTCCACTGTAATTATATATATAATAAAACTTGCACACAACCGTTTTTTTTCTTATTTCTTAAAGATACTTTGCAATAATGTCTTTGACAGAACCGTTTCTCCGTATGCACCTATAAAATGTCTTTAGCGAACGTTCTCACACACGCTATGCGCTCTCTATCCTCCTCTTTTAGTTACACATCTCTCTTATTCGTGTAGTTCGTTACGTCTGTCATGTCAAGCACTACTCCCGTAATTAACTAACGGTTTGTCAAAGATTATTGCGTCATTTTGTTTCTCCTTTAATCTTGTAAAGTCGCTATTCTACCTTTTTTCTTGCTCATATAAAAATAACACGCAATGCGAAGCTATCCAACATTGCTTTGTACATTCGCCCGTGCTCCAATGAAACAAAGTTGAACTTAACGAATCTAAAAAAGTGATCATTGCCAAACTACGGCCGGTGTTTACGATCGGATTTTATATTTAAAATCTTCTCAAGTTTGTCTTCGGTTTTCTGTGTACTGCTGTATGGCGGCTCTTTTTTATCGGCTACGAAACACTCAAAGATAAACTTAAGACGGTCTTAAAATATAAGATCTGATTGTGAATACCGGCCTATGACGATTATTATCCATATCGGGATGCGGAAAGCTACTAGTACAACTTAACGTACGATAGAATTAGTGATAGTCGATTACATATGTCGGGTCGATTACGATTTTCCGCAGGACTTGATTCCTTTCCGTTTGTCGGGAAAACACAATCCAATCGTGTCGCCTACGTGGGAAGCCTGCGAAATCTGTCTTAAAAATCGTGCACGAAAAGGAAGGAACTGAAATTTCCGAGTTGAATTCAAAACTAATTAGAATCATATATATATATGTATGATTTGTAATTAGCTATTAATCCCCTTCTCAAGTTTATAACGTTGAAAGATGTAGACTAACACTAGCGATTCTATTCGTAACGACGAACGTAGTGTCGCGAATAAGTTTCTTTAAATTTTTAATTAGCAATATTATAGCAGATTCTGCATGTGTTTGCCGTTATACTCTCGCTTTCTCGTCAAACACGAAGTGTCGTTCGAATATCATTCGCCGATAAATTTCGAATCGAGGATCGCAAACGAGAAAATCCTATCCGTATTCGCAGGACAATTTTCCTTATGGATTTTATAGTTCTAACAAACTAATATGACATCCCTGTTTCACGCGAATGCGCTCTCGCGTGCACAAAGGGTGATAACATTCACTCCGACATAATAAAATAAGACGGTAGATCTCATTTTCGCAAAATGCATCGTCGATTAGATCCGTTGATTTTAGCTATATTACTCGCTTCTCTGCATCCCCTCGTCCCTCTTCTCCCGTCGAAATGAACTTGTTTCATTTCAAATGCAGAAGAGACTATACGCAGCTAAAACGAACGGATTTACCGTTTGGAATTTACCATCCGCACCATAGATTCAACAATCCGCGATTTTTATATAACCGTGCTAATAAGTTTACAATTAATCTCATATTTACATGTTACCATTGCGCTTGATTGAGACAGAAATCCAATTTCTGTCGTAATGTCACGTCTCCCGGATTCTCTCTTTCCGCCTCTCTCGTGGCAAAGAGCGACACCGAGAGACACACACCAGTATTTACATCTCGCGTATATAATGTAGCTCTTAATAGATTATCACTAGGAAATGAAATAATTATACATAGTGCGTTAAGCTAAAAAAGCAATCTCAATAATTATCATAATTTTCGTATCCGGACGAAGATATCGCATGGACGACGCGTGAGACACGAGAGCGGTTACCGACGACGCGCTTACGTTCCGCCCGTAGCCGTGGGTGAAAAAAAACAGATTCAAGTACCCGAGCGCAAAAAGATGGACTCGAGAGAGAGAGAGACGGAACGCAAAATCTGCGCACGATCTACGAACAGTCGGAACAACAATGATAATACGTCGAATCGCACATTCTTTCTGAGATCACACGATGGCAAATCGCACGTGAAATACGCGAATAAGCACGAAAATTTGAAATCCACTGCTGAGAATCTTAAACCCACCCACGGCTGCTTGTCCGGTAGCTACGAGGCGGAACGACATCGATAATTCCGAGACTGTCTCATAGCTGTGTTCAACGTTAGCAGAATAAAAGATTCTTGCTGATCTTCGCTTGTAATGATTCTCTTACACACAGTGCAGACGACGGTTCGTCCGCGACGACCTCGGCCATTCCGTCTAACGCGCGTACGACGATACAACGTACATGTTCTCTCGTTATTGCGAACAAACAGTGATTTGGCGAAATGCATCATTCGCATCCGTGTTACACGGTGAACGATCGGTGTTGCGAATCAATAGAATTCAACAGTTACCGAAAATTAACTGTTATATATATATATTCCGAAAGTTTGCGCTTTTAATCCTGCCTGACACCGTAGGAATTACTTGCCCATTTCGCGCCGTCGTTTCGCCTGTCAGCGTCAGGATCCGCGCTCTCCGACAGATCGTCATCCACGCCTGTGAGCGACGCGAACGTAATTTTAACGAGACGTGTCTCATGTGAATCGTGGCTCTAACGAAATCACAGTTGCACTGAGACAAATTACGATCGTGAAGGATCAAGAATCGTACTAGAGAGGCTCGGGGAAGACTCACATGTCTCCTCCTCTTCATCCTCCTCCTCCTCGGCCGAGGAGGAGTCGCTGTCGCTCTCCGTGCTCTCGGAGTTCACCGACAGGGAGCACTGGTCGTAATCCTCGGGCTCGGAATAGATCTCCGCACCGGGAAAAACGTATCTGCCCGGCATCAGCTGGTAATACGAGTTTTCTGTAAACAATCGTAACTTTATTATTATTTTGCAACGCTCGTAACATAAAGACGGGATATTTGCTTAAAATAAGAATTGGAATGAGATGAAACAAAATGGGATGTGAAATTTAATAAAGTGAAAATAAAATGGAAAAATAAAGTACCTAAGTAAAAAATAGTAGCCTATAGGATAATGTACCTTGCAGCCTGGTGGCGAGGCTCTCTCGGATTTTCGGCTGCCAACAATGGCCCTCCAATGTCCTGTTCTTCAACTCGGCCATACCGTATTTCTCCGTGCTGTCGACGCTGTTACAACTGTCGCCTATACCAGAATCCAGCACGGAGTCCACCGACACTTGCCTCGGCTTCGGTATTGTTTTGTCCGATTCGACAACATCCGTCACAGTGTCGTTGTACTTAATCGGTTGTCCACAATTGTCCGACAGCTTGTGCGACTCCAAGATGTTATCGTACAGAATGGGCTCCGACGAAACAGTCGTCGGCACCACTTGGCATTCCTCCGACGAGCTGTTTTCAGAAGCCGCGGATGCGGCATGAATCTTACCCCTCGGCGCAGTCATTGCACATTCGACGTTGGCTTTCGTCGGCGAGGAAACGACGAAATTCGCGAGTTTCGCTTCGCACGTACCGAAATTCATCCGTTTCGGACTGTTCTCTATGCTAGTATCACCCGACCGCTTCTTCGGACTCTCTCCCAGAAGATTAAAGCCCTCCTCCGTATTTTCCACGTGTCCGCCGTAGAAGGGCGACACGCAAATATTGATATCCTCCGCACGCTGCGGCATCGTGTTGATCAACAGACTGTCCTGGCTTTCGGCCGAAGATACATTGTGGGACTTCAGATCAATCTCCACGCTGTCGCGCGACAGCTCGGTATTGGTGGTTGTATCTTGACTCTGTTCCCACGTGTCGTCGGACAAACAACGCACCGGTAGAAGCTGCTGCGCTTCCTTCAAAATCGTATCGTGCCAACAGACTTCCTTGAAAGGGTCACCCATCCTGCAAAACAGCAAGAAATTGAGATTTTAATGATCGTAATTAGAATTGTTGTATACTGAATCCGAGATGTCACGATTAAACGAACAATTCTCATTGTGCACATTTTTTTATTGGAACATAGAAAATACTGAAAAAGATACATCTTTACATATGTATGAAAAAAAAAATGAATTGCTCAAAGACATGTTACTTACAGATGGCATATCTGATTGATAATGATATCACCATCGCCCAACAGTTCAACGTCAAACTTAAGGTGCGGCAATGGTTCCCGATTAATGAGGATCTGCGGTACATGCGACGGAATGGACGACGGGATTAACGACACTGGCCGGACTTTTAGGGATGAACCGATAACGATTAATAAGTCACAATCGTCCTTGTCTTTGGCCATCGCGTCGTGAAAAACGTCTGGCAGGCCCTCGCCAAAGAAAACGATATCTGGCTTCATTATACCTTGGGATACCAGATCTGCAAATCACGCGTGGCAGCGTTAATCTTCTCGCGATCGACCTCGAACAGAACAATTTCGCGAAATGGCGTTCTTTATGTTTCGCTTAATTATTACGATATCGCGCTGCTATCGGATTCCGGGAACAGCAAATACAGTAATGAGATAATAAGACACCGGTGAAAGCTCATTGGCTTGTCACAGCCGCGAAACACCGCACTCACGCGGTGCGCAAGCGCGTAATCTTAGAAGTTTTTACCTTTATGCGTTTATTAACAAGCGAAACTTTACTTTCGCATTTTACAATTGATGGTACCGACTTATGCGTTGGATCAGTAACGGCATTTAGTACGAGATGTACAATCCGAGAAGAGTAGAGTAACGTTCTCTCATTGGCCGTCGTTTTTTATAGCAACACACTAGAGAGCTAATAGCGGAAAACTATCACTAGTTTTAATTTTCTTCCGTACCGTAGAAATCGACATGCCGTTACGAAAGACTGCAAATAAATACACTATCAGCCAAAATCAAGTGAGAACAAGCCATTTATTTACCTCGATAGTTCTCGCTGGAGTTGATCTTCGGCAGAGAACGCAGCGCATTAACGCGACACTTCGGACACGAGGGTATCTTCTGCGCAAAGATATCCTCCCTGATGTCGTCCGCTTTAACCTGATATTTACATCTTGTGCACGATGCGGTAGCGAAAGAGCCTTTAACAGAAAATACATGTATACATGCGTGTGTAATGGTCAAGTTTTACCATTGACTACTTGAAAAATATTGTCGACTCTATAATTATATTAATATAAATTATTCTCGTATACGCGTGAAGGAAAAACTTAAATATCTTTAAACGTAAATCTACCTCGAAGCAACTCCGAAAAATAACATGTTTATCTTCGTCTTTAAATTTTTACATACGAGACGATTGTTCTTTTCCAACGGCAGAATCGATCGAGTACCAAAATATACAAGAAATGTGTAAATTGTTACGAAATTTTTCCTAAAATGTACGAATATTCTGGGACAGTCTGTGTATCTATATTATTACCATGACACTCGATCACATTCTCGATACCAGCGGCTTGTTCCAGAGTGTCGATATTTTGAGAGTAATTCCTCAAAAGTTTCTTCTGTTTGTCCAGCATCTTGATGAACCTATGGCAAGGACTAGGCTTAAATTGTCCTGGGTATATTTCACGTGCGAATTTGTAGAACGGTCTGGGATCTTGAGCAAAATAATTGATGTCGAACATAGCCTGGAAGAAAAAATACTTCATATAATGAGAAGCAACACGTCGAAGTGTTGAGGCATAATCGCGTTTCGCACTAAGTATGCAGTCGCACATAACAAGACAGATATTACTATAGTTATTGCTACTAATATTACAAGGGGAAGAGTGTAAATATGGAACGGGGTTGTAATATAAATTCGCATTGTGCTAAAACTATTGCTTGAAACTATCAGTAATTATATTCATTAAAAACATTCGTTGTGCTTAGGTCACTCGAGAGCGTTGAAATAACGCAGCGTTTAAAAAATGTAAATTAATATGCATTGGAAGGAATCCATCAGGAAATGAATATTCTGTTTTACGAAAGTGCGAAGTAAGATTTAACAATTTTTTCCATATGTATATTGTTAAGTGTAAAATATTAGCCCTTATGTGTCGGATAGTTCTAAGATTAAGGTGTGAAATGATAGGTTAATTATTTGGAAATACGTGTGCTACGTTTAAATTTATCAGAGTTATGTAATAAGTTGTTGGTCGCAATATGGAACGTTTCATGTTGTAGCCAGTATGGCAAGAATAATATTGTTTTCATTTTTAAAAAGATTATTTATCTTCTTATATACAGTCTTACACCTAACGCTAGGTTACTTGAGCCACTTTCTTTTCATTTTGCAAAAATATGTTTTTTATTGTCCTTTCTGTGTATAAATACATTGAAAGAGATTAAATAAATGATAGAAAGCTTAGAAACAGTAAAAAATGTTTTTCCTTTAATTCCTTTAATCTATTTTTTCCATATTAACATCCCATTTGCTCAGATCCTTGATTTGACACATGTTAACCAAAATGTGTACTCCTTTAACAATTGTGTGTTTGGTCTTAATAACTAATGGTACATGTTCTCAATTGTATGCGCTAACATTATTGACGATTATTCATTCAATATTTAAATTTTAAACTACAGTTCTTCTTTAACATTTGAAATTGTTCCATATTTACACCTTTTACCTTACTGTATATATTACAATATATATTATTAAATTATATATATATATATATATATATATACTAATATATATGATAGAACTATCATACAGTTTAAATAGTTCTATACAAAAATAAAGTAGACTCAACTATTGTCAAATATAAATCGTGTGCATAAGCTATTCATGATTCCAAAGATAATGGGGCAATAAGATTTTTCAAATACCTGTGGATCTGGTAAGTTTGGAAAGTCTTGCGCTAATCTTGAGTAGATACCATCCCTACTTCTAAAGTCAGGAATACCACAGCTGACACTTACACCAGCGCCAGTCAATACTATGATTTTCTTGCTGTTGCGAACTAACCGTACCACGTCTGTCAAGGTGTTTACGTGTCTGAGCTTTTGCCGTCTAGGAGGTTCCGACATCATGTTAATTATGATCTGAAATTCACGTAATTCTTCGTTATGATGCTCATGCAATTATTTCTTTACTTACTATTAACTTTAAATGTTAAAAAATTAAAGTAGAAATTATATTCAACATCTTTCAGAATATTGGCTCATCAACCTGTTCAGGAATCTGTGTAGAACCCATGAGGAGGTGATGCAGGAGATTCCTCGGGTCAGCACCGGTGAGCATTTGTTTTTGAACCCAGGAAGAAGCGTTTCGCCATTGATGGCCGATCTCTGCCTCTCCAGAAAGATCGGATAACCCTGATAAATCTGAGAGATTTGAAACAGTGGAGGATACCTCATCTTTCTCATCTGCAGTGTCGATCCTAAAGCGAGGCATCAAATAACAGTGTTAAAAATTTACTTTATATTATAAAAACAATTAATTAATTCACAAATAAAACTTACGGACAACCAGTATCGTTACTAATCGAGTCAACTCTGGATGGCGGTGATATCAAATTTGTGGTTGCAGAAGATATGGATGCTGATTTGGACTCGTCACTTAGTTCTGTAAACTCACTGTCTGTGCCCAGAGTTTCTATAAAGTATAAGAAGTTTGTAGCTTGTCGGTGGAAAAAAAGTAAATTTATAAATTTAATTTATAGGCTCATTTTTATATTTACAAATTAAAAACAAATTTATATAAAAAATTATTATTAAATTCTACAGAAAATGTGTAAATAAAATACATATCAAGTGGATATCATTGTATAAGCTTGAAACATGAGCAATTTACTTATATATAACAATCCAGTAATAACAAGGTGTTTTTAATTGTATCAATAATTACTTTCATGATTTTGAGTATATTTCATTTGTATTTGATTTGAAATAATGTAACTTTATTTTTTTTAGTCGTATACCCTGTAGTAAGAGGTTGTGATAATGGTTCAGTTAAAAATTTACATTTATTGATAAAAATGCCTTAAATATGGTCTCTCAGCCAATCATGTAATTCTTATGTACTTTTAGAGGCACTTTTACCGATAAAAGTGTTCGGAATAAAGACATTTGAAAATCACTTTGATATTTTGAAAATCCATCTTGCCATTAGAGGGTTAACATTACCGACGTCTCTCTTTCTCTCTTACCATTCTCTATACTCTCATTCTAGAGCTCAAATAATACACCTCTCTCACATTCGAATACAAAAAATAAAAGAAATGATTAACAGAAAAACTTAGACGCATTCATCAAGTCCGTCCGTCTTAATTTTCAATACTTTGCGCTTTCTGTATTTCTGAGGGAGACAAGAAGTACGCGCTCATGGATCGGTAGAGAGCGACAAAGAAGCTGAATGCAGGAGGAGCAGCTAAAACGAACAGATCGTATACACCAAATGCCATCTGTGAACGTTTCCGAGGAGCGCGACGTGCCACATATATCCAGTGAGGAGATTCGATCGATCGATCGACAACTTGTGCGTCGCAAGACCGGAGCGTCGATATTCCACGATAAGGGAAAAAAATGAAAAAAGAAAAAAAATAACGTCCGACTGATGAGTCGAGAAATTTTGCGCTGTCATGATCGATCGGCCGAAGGGGAGGGAAGGGAGAAACGAGGGACAACGAAACTGCGACGCAATTCAGCAACGACTGTCATGGCGTCCGTCGCGCCCGACGAGCCAGGTGAGGAGCTCGAACGCGACGGAAGACCGAAAGGCGGCCAGTCGCCGCCATCTTGGCGAATACCCGCGAATTTCTGCGTGTGCATGCGATCTCGCGTGGGCTCACGAAAAATTTTTCGATACCTTCAAGATCATCGTTCGGGCTGGCGTGGGCTGTCTCACCGGCCATCGGATCCATCGCGGCTTCGTTGACGCTCCCGTGACCGCCGTCGTCGTCGACCTTACGACGCTTCACCGGGGACGAATACTCCGCCAGGTCCGTGCTTGACGCCATATTCGACAGCAATGCAACGCATAGTGCGATGCACGCCCGTCATGCGGCGCACCAGAGGTCGCATCGTCGATCTTCTCGGCCCCTCCCTCCTTTTCTCTCTCTTTCTCTCTTTCTGCTTCACCCCTCCCGACGCGTCGGATATCACTGCAATAGCAACGCGTCGCTCTTCGCGCGTGTCGCTCTTCTACGCGAGAGACGCGATAAACCAGAGCGAACGAAATGTTTCCGCTCGTTCGTTTCTGCGAGATTGCCTGCTCGGCTCGCGAGCCAGTGTCCTCTTTTGCAGTCGTCATCTCCTCTCATCGACCACGGTCGACAGAGGTGTGTATTCACCTGCATCTCCTCAATGCTGACACCGACATGCGATACAAAGTCAAGTAGAAACGTAGTAGAACTTGATGCGGGTTACTCAACAGGTAATCTTGGGCAATCTTTTTGTTTACCAATCGTGTATGAGCCGAATTTCCCACATAGTCGAGCTCATACGTTCAAGTACTAAGACGCAGAGTCACTTCCAAAACTTTGACGTTTGAGACGAGATTGGAGCACGTGATTTTTCGGAGTTCCTCCTCTTGTTTTAAATCTTTTCATCACTTTGTTTTCGTGATTTTCCACATGGCAACTTGGCATTGTTACTTGATAGTGATTTGATGTTACTGCGAGGTAAATATCGTGACGGTCAATATTCTGTTTTGACTATAGATTTTAGAGGTTAGACCGCATCGTCGTGAACATCGCAAATGAGCTGTTATATCGCACACATCAATGTCATATCCAATACCACTGGGTATTTCCGTATGCATTACTAGCGTGGGGCGTGATCGTTCTATTGGTTGTATATTATCTCGAGATAACACGTTCGAGAGGGTAGCCAATAAAAACGGTCCTTACATATTCTGATCCGTCTTGCTTCGATGAAAACGCAGAATTCAAGGAACATTCTACGATCCCGCCGTCAATTGCGACGTATCATATTACAGATTAGAGATTGAGATTTGACCAATCAGAACGAAGTTCACTAAACTCTAGTTTAGTTAAACTTGTTCCGATTGGTCAAATATTAATCCTAATATGTAATGTGTAAGGTTCGCATCAGACTACAAATTGGGGATTGAGATCGAGATTGAATTTAACCAATCGGTATAAAGTTAACTGAATTCAAGTTTAGTGAAATTTAGTGAATTTTCCACCGATCGGTCAAATTTCGATTTAATCTCAATCTCCAATCCGTAATCTAATACGCGGGCTTAACAGGCGTTAGAGTCTAGATTTTAGAATTCGAACTTAAAATATTATCCATCATTCGAACTTAAAATATTTCCTAGATTTAAAAACTTGGAATAATCCCCATAACGTGTCAGTATTCAAGAATATAATCGGTATTAATTAATTGAGCCTTAATTATTACCCATCACCGGGTAGTGTCGCATTTGTTCCCGCGTCCGCGGTAGCTAAGAGAAAGAGATAACCGGCTTCTCGCTAATGTATCTTATTATTGTATCATATTTGCTTAAGCCGATATATCATCGCACGCTGGTAAGTCAGCGTCCAAGCTCACATCGATAAATATCGAGTCTTCCTCCATTAAAAATATCCGCAAGTGTTCCGCGAAAGTTATTTGCAAATTCACATGGTTACCCTTTATTAATATTACGGAGGATCCCAGAGGGATCGCCAACAGCTAAAGACGATAACCATCGACTAAGATAGCAGCCGAACCAACTCACGGTAAGTGCGACATTTTCTCATTTCGCTATCTATAAGGTCCACTCTCCGCGCATTCGTAAAATTCCGCTGTATCCGCTGGGAATTCGTCGCGAAGTTTTCTCGATCGCGAGCATCCTCGCGAAAAAAACACTGTTTCGTTTGACCCGAAAAAGCGACCATGTCTCGAGGTTAAAGTCTGACTGTCCTTGTCCAGGTAACCGTGGTCAGCTGTTTGGGTTATATCTCTCACAACACTACACACAGGGATGTCCGGAACTTTTCCTTCAATCTCTCGTACAAGGTAGAACGGGTTGAGTAGAAAAGTCCTCTATTATCTTTCACACTACCACGCAAAATTTCAAGTTATTGATGATTGAAAATGGCCATGTATAAAAGCTCCTTTAAGTAATGACTAAAAACCGTATTACTTGCGAGATGCTGAAGAATTTTTTTGTTCAGAGCGGCCTAATCTACAAGTGTATACATCAATATATTGAATTCCGAACTTTGAATCTGCCACTAGATATAATAGCTGTCATATATTCGTAGATTAAGCCATTCTGAACGAAAAAAGTGCTTTGTGTATTTTGCAAATAAAATGCAAATTTTTTTTTTTAATTAATCATTAAAGATGCCTCCGTAGGTGACCATTTCCAATCGTTATCCATGGTGTGCAACGGATCAAACTGAAAACAGGAAAATCATGTACCATTGTGCAAAAATCGCAATAGTAACCGAGGAATTAAATAATTTGTATAAATATTAATGATCGCACGGGAAACAGTAGGCCGAATTCTATATAAATATAGCTTACTTTTGAAAATGTCCCAGCCACGATATCAACTGATAGGCGAGAAACTGCGCGAACTGATAATAGCGTTTTCTTTTCGACGCGCAGCCTATCAACATACCGCTCGTTGCGTTATTCCGTCTCTAGAAATCAGTTGATGCTCATTGTCGCTAGGACATCTTCAAAAATAAGCTATTTTTTTATACAGAGTACGACCTTACCGCTTCCCGTGCGATTCTAATGATTATTAGTTCATACAGATTAATTCACTATTGCGATTCTCATTAACTATTGTGATCGTTACAAAACGATATGTGATTTTCCCGTTCAGTTTAATCCATTCTACCTGTACACCACGGATACCAAAATAATTATCGGACACCATGTATACATGTGTACAGGGTATTTGACGCAAAGCCAACTATCACATACTTGTATTTTAAATCAAAATGAATAAAAAAGTCCTGTACCATTTTGTAAACAGTACGCAAAATTTCGAATTATTAATGATTTAAAATAGCAATGTACAGAGGCTTTTTTAATTAATAACTTAAAAATTTGCGCGTTATTTACAAAATGGTAAAGGACTAGCAGATATTATATAAAATCTGTTTTCGCAGATTTGGCTGTCTGATTTTATATTGGACAACATTCAGCCAATGTATCCCCCAACGAATGCTATATATATAATCAATATTGTATTGCCAATAAATTGTGTTATCAAGGCATTGTCAGTCGTTAATAATTCGGAATTTTGCGTGTTGTTTGTGAAGGACTTTTTTGTTTGTTCACATTGACCTGAACTACAAATATATGACGGTTGGCACGCCTTGCATCAGACACTGTACACGTGTGTGGGAAAATCGCTCGTCATTTGCGGACGCTGTATATGTGCGATAACTCGTTCAAATTTTCTGGTTAGAATCTCCTTTATTATATCATTCCGCTTCAGTGTCATACAATGGAATAGCGACCACTTTAAATGGTTTAAAAACACTCGCCCCGAGTTTAGCGTTAAAAACTTCATCGAAAAGTAAAAAGAAACGTCTATATCTACAATATTAAATAAAACGAAAAAGTAGGATCAATAATAGCGAGCTGAATCGTTGAAGTTAGATATGATATTTGTAGGAAGAAGTGTCAATAAAAGGCAGAGTATGAGATACGATAAAAAAAAAAAAGTATAATGAATTCGTCGGTCGTTATATTTATTTATTTGCTTTATTGTTATATGTCATATAATAGTTTTATATCATATCGCAGTTATCATAAATCAAATTTGAAAATAGGCTTTAAATTATAACAATATATCTTAGAGAATAATTGAAGCGCTCCCTGGAATATAGGTCAAAAAGCCCTCATACGTCTTCCATGAGCTTCATCATTGAAACTTACGTGTGTGGGGACCGTTTCAATTACAGTATATATCGTCGCTATGTATTGAACACTTGCCGAAATCCCCACCAAGAAAGATTTTCAAATGTTCAATTGAAATGAACATTTCGTACATACATACATACACACATATATATATATGCATACATATATATGTATGTATACATAGGTATGTATATATGTATATCTCGAGTGTATCTATTATTATTAATATTATTATTATTATATCATTACTAGTCCAGCCGAGATAACGGATGACGCTCCTATCTGTCTCTCTCTCTCCCTCTCTCTCTCTCTCTCTTCATCTCTCTTTCTCTCCCTCTCTCTTCCTCTCTCTTTCTTTCTCCCTCTCTTTCTCTCTCTTTCTTTCTCTCTCTCTCTCTCTCTCTCACTTTCTTTCTCTCTATATACCATATATTTTTACTTGCTTTCTTTCCTATAGTTATGTCTTGTGTGTAATAATAACCATAATATAATAATAAACATTATTACCACCACAGCAATAATAGTATTATAATAGCACTGTTGCTAGGGACGCACAGCTATATTTTTATGCGTTGGCGGCCCACTACCATTTTAACAATGAACAGTATTCATTGATCTGAATAGAGAGGATTCGGTATACGTAATATAATATATTATTAGTACAGTGTGTATTCGATTCGTGCCGACAATTCTGTAATGCTTACGTAAATTCGATTTCGAGAAACTGGTCATTTTACGCGCGTGTGTATGTATATGTCATGTGTGTGTGCGTGCGTATGTGTGTGTGTTATGTGTGCTTTCATAAAACCTCGCTACGAGTATCGAGTATGATAATCTGTGTCGGGTTAATTTGGTTTATAACGGATGCACGATTGTTACACTGATCGATATACTGATACGCTACATGTGAAATAAAAAGATGGACACGGTAGCGCGTGGGTGGGACAATCGGCAAAGAAGCTCGTGATCGGTAATTGGAAACAACGTCGTTAGTCCGGGTTTTCGTTCGTGTATTCTCTCTCTCTCTCTCTCGTGTCAATGGTAAACGTAGCATCAACGCACGGCATAGGACGCGAAGAGATCAAAGTCTCATCGCGCTCATCTATGCGAAGCGGACACTACATTTAATCGACATTTAAAGGCGAAGGATAAACGGTGCAGTCGAAGAAATGGTTCGGATTCGTAGAGTACTAACAACGGTGGCTCAAAGCAATAACAAGCAAAAGTGTGTATGGTTTTTGTTATGTGTGTGTGTGTGTGCAACAGCAAGTGGAAGAGAATATTGTGTATCCAGGTCCAATATAGTCAATAGTAGTCCTCTCAGGAATCCTCTTCTCCTTCATCTATTATCTCTTTTATATCTCCCCTCACTTCGGTGTGTGTCTTCTTCGGTCTCGCTTTGCAGCGTGGAAATAATCGAAATCTCATTCGCGAAGCAGTTATTTACACAACTGTATCGTACTAGTGCTACTAGTATCACTACAGTACTTGAACCTATTGTAGAGAATTCTTTACAGTGCGGATAAGTAACACACACACACGAACTATTTGTTTTTTCTCTCGTCAATGATCGCCCGATTGATCGCCAGAAGCGAGTGTGTGGTATTCTCAAAAAGTAACTCATCAACGAAATCCGTCGCAAAAAACGTTTTCGAATTGCTTCCATCGCGCGATTCTAAGCGTATTATACGTTATATTGCTGGCGTCGAGGTGTGTGTGTACCGTCGTGTGTACCGTATGCATCTTGGATTTTAGATAGATGTCGTCATCGTCGTGGTTCGAGGAGGTTTTTTTCCTTTTTTTCCCCCTTTTTCTCTCTCTCTTTTTTTTTACGGGGCATTGCGAATTTAGACCATCATCATCATTACCGGCGATAAAATAGAAGAGAACACAATTATCGTTATTAGCGTTGTATTACTATTATTATTAATTAGTACGATGCGCAGCATGAGAATGCGCGGCCAAGAGAAGGAGCGGAAACCCGAAATAAGATGCTCGTGTATCAGATCGCTGTTTCCTTTCTGTTAGCCGACGTGATTCTGTACTTTTTTTTCTCTATTTCATATTTGATAATCATCATAATCTTCATCGATATAATCATCATTATCATCATTATCATTTCGATACACTACTAATAACAATAAGGTGGGCAATTAAAAGATCTCTTTGCCTTATATCGTCTAGCGTGACAAGCAATATTGAGAATCTAGGCTCGAACGAATATAATAATAGGTTCATAAAGGGGTAATTTGTTTTTTTTTGTATGCTTATAAACGACGCTCCGTGTGGTAAATTCCAATTGCGTCTATCGTGCTACTTTGAATCGCAGTATGTTTATATGTTTGTGTTTAATGCTTCTCGCACGCACTAACGTTAAGACTCGTTGAAGCTACGTCGGCAAGATGGCTTTTTTCGTTCTCTAGTGAGTCCACTTATTCCATGCCTGCAAACAGACAAAGTTAATTAATCAAGTCGCACGTGGGCATACCTTTTGTCCGATAACGTTAAAATCATGCTTGTCCTTCGATTTTTCATCTACTGGACACACCATGTATAACAATAGTAATTATTATTATTAATAGTAACACTGAGGAGTTCCTACCGCCGGGTGTTGTTTATCTTGCACGGTGTCTGGTAATCCCCACGCAGGTGGATCTATCTTATTCGGCTCGTTTGGGGGTATTTCCGTCAAACCAGGCGCCCCAAACTGTCCCGGAAGTAACGCCAACCCTGGCATGAGCGATAAAGCTGCGGCATTACCGTTAGGGAAAGGTTGCTGAGTATCCACATGGCCCTGGACACGATCGAGAGTTTGTTTATATACACGTGACGGTAAAAATGTTATTTTAAGGGTAAAAAAAAGTAAAAAAGAAGGGGCAAGGCTTAAAGATAAAAATACCAATATACGGACATGCATCTAAACCCTTATTGTTTTGTTTTTAAACTACGAATATCTGAACTTTTGACCATGAATATACAAGGTATCCCATTTTAAATAACGACCTCAAATATCAAATATTTCTCGAACAGTGCATTACGAAAAAAATGTTTCAAACAAAAGTCATAGAGTTTCGAGGGAGACGTAAAGTAGTGACACCTCGAGTGTGCGATTTTACTTAAAAAAAAAAAAAATGAAGTTGACCTTAAAATGACCTTGAATTATTGATTGTACAACAAAGTTAAGGTCACTACCTTATTTCCCCCTATAGGCATTCGTATGTCACAACTTGGGACAAAATTAACTTTCCATATCGCCACTAAACCGTACTCTTCCGTCACTTTTGAGAAAATATAAGATTAATTCAAATCTTTCGCACCATGAGTTGATGAAAAAATACAGTACAATTAGAGCCCGAAATGATTACTTTCGATTCGAATAAATTTCAAGCACTCAACACTATTAACGTGTTACTAATTTATTAATTCCTATTCACTGTGACGAGGTCGTCATTTTGTCACTAATTGGGACACTCACCGTGCAACAATTGCGCGTGCAATATGACGAAATTGTATACACAAAATGTCCCGTGTAAGCCGGCGACAGAAGAGGTTTCTTATTTCGAGAACTACCCGATCGGTCTCGATTGACAGTCGAATCGTGCGTGACTCGAGGATCGGTCGTTACCTGGAAGGAGGTCTCCATCATTTGATGCAGTTCCGGCTCGACGTTGGATATGCGATTGTAAGTGGCGTTGGTTCGGAACATCTGGTGCCTGTCGATGCCAGGCGTCAGACCCGTCCACGAACCGACCATCTTCTCGTTATTCAATATCCAATTGATGGAATCGGCATCACCGCCGGGACCCATGCCCGTGGCGGTGTAATTCTTCCACGCCCTCTCGGTGCCGATCGGCCGCGGCACTTTCCGGTCCTCGATCTTCAGCTGGCTCATTTCCTGGGCGACTTGCGCCGGGGACGACGGGGAAATGGCCGGCGAGCCGCCGTTCTCCAGACTCGTGATTAGATCGATGCTGCCAGGCTGGGCGTTCATATTGGCCAGATGATTGGAGAAGCCGATCTGACCCATCATGGGATCCTGATGCGGCGGCGGCGGGTAACTGCTGTGCGGGCCTGGGGCGAATGGCCAGCGGGTCTGGGGATTCGTCGAGATGCCGGTATTGGCCGGGGTCGCCCGCGACGGTGCCTGGTACTTGCCTAGTGGGAAATTGCCGAGCATCGCGAGATTGCTGGACTGTATTGCCGTCGGCGGCGGCGCCGGCACGGTCGGAAATATGCCTGGATGGAGGGTCGCCGAGCCGGTGTTAAACATGGTAACCTGGGGCGCTTGCTTGCTGTTCAGATGCAACGAGCTGGAGAAGTCGGGCGCGCGCGGATTCAATCTCGACATACTGACGGTAGTGTTGACAGAGGCGGATGGGGCGATGGCGGTTTGCGCGTAGCTCTGCATATGAGGGTGGAACGGCAATAAAGGGTGTCCGCCGCTTTGGCTGTCGTTCGGCACCATCTTCAGCAGGCTGGAATTTACGTTCGGATGTTCGTACGCGCCGCCGCTGTTCGCCGCTTTGAACAGGCCGACGTCCAGCGCGGGTTGGGACGTCGACGGTATGACGTGCGGGGGCTGATGCGTAGTGGCGTTGCGCGACGTCAGCTCGCCCTGAAAGACCGGTCGATTGAATTGCGTCATGCCTGTGCCCATCTCCATGCTCGGCTGCGGTATCACCGGTCTGGCCACCGCCAGGCTGCCGGGTGGCTTGCTTGGTGGAAGGGGGTGCTCGGTGTAGCTCGTGGAGGATTGGAACTGCGGCGGCTGGATGGGGTTGTGGACCGAGCTGGACGATACGCCGATCACGTTGCTCGACGTGTTGCCGCTCGTGCCGCTCGATTTGCTGGAAACCGGCGAGCACATCGTCGTGCCGCGATACCCCGGTGCTTTCGACGCGTCCACCTGTTGGCGAAGTCAAATTCCGAGGAACGTTTCAATCGTTTCAACTTCGAGTGAATCGCGGGTAAAACGAAGTCGGCGATTCGCCGTGAAAAGGCGAATCGACTTGTTTGTCGATCGCTTCTCGCGATAGGAAACTCTGGCCCGTGTTGATGATCGTTACTTGAAACTTGTCTCATACAAAACAACCGGAGATCTGAATTCAGAGTTCGGATTCGTCGACTTTTTTTTATCAAGGGTGTCTTGTTTTAAACAGACCAGCCGAATATCTTGGAAATTGAGCCCGCCAAAGAGAAACGTTTCAAACAAAAGCTGTAAGGTTTAGATAGGCGTATTTTTTACTACAGTATTCATCTGATTTTGGATGGCGTTACTAAAGTCCGGTAAACTTGAATTTTTTTCAATGGAATCATGTTTTTTGTTAACATAAATCGATTCCTCCGGTAATTCTCTATACGAAAACATTGAGGTACGATTGTCGAGGAATGAACACTTTCCGAGATATCTTGCATTTTATCTTGATACTTTTCAGTACAAAAGAATAGGAAATATCTCATAAAGTATTATTTTTTGGCAACTTCACCTTAATACTTTTGTACGTTAAAAAAAAAAAAAAAAAAAAAAAAAAAAAAAAAAANACTAATTATTTCACATTGGTGCATCAATAATGCATTTGCAAAATGCGATGAATTTTTTTAAGACCCCCCCTTTTTTACAGGAATCGATTCCACCCGTTATTCTACGTACAGTGGTACCTTATCATGTATCGACCATTGATACGACCATTAATACGAGTCTGAGAAAGGAATAAATATAAAAGCAGAGTGTCACGAGTGCATATGAAGTACGGATCTTCTCTCGATCAACAAACCTGCGGTGGAGAGCTGTCGAACTTGGCCGCGGAAGAACCCGACGTATTCATTGATACTCCACCACCAGCAACAGTAGCGAAGTTCATGCCTTTCTGAGATTCATTGTCTCTACCACCCCACATAGACTGCTGCGTCACCTTGGTAAACGTATCGTTAAACAAGGAATATTCGAGCGGAGTGCTATTTGATTGTTGTTGTTGCTGTTGTTGTTGCTGCTGCTGCTGCTGTTGCTGCTGCTGTTGGTGCTGCTGCTGCTGATGTTCTTGGATAGTGTTCGCGATAGGCGTGGCGCTGCGGGCCTGTGATTGAGATTGTTGCGATTGCTGCTGCTGCTGTTGCTGCGGTGGTAATGTTTGCGCCTGAGACGCTATTACTGGTGGCGAGGGTGTCACCCGTACGGAGCTGGCGGACGTCGAAACGGACGTGGAACTCTCGGAACAGTTCGTCACCACGGTGCTCATGGCGGACGAGATCGCGCTCGTGCCGGGAGGAAGCGGATAGGTCGACTTCCCTCCTAGATAATGAGACGTCAGAATCGGCGGGGCGGCGGGCAAGGCAGTGGACAGTGGTCGGCAGTGTTTCGGCGATGTACTGACTACGGACTGCTGGCTGGATGTCTGAGCAGCTGCCGCCGCGACCGACGTGGCCGACGACATTACGGTCATCGTGTTGGCCTGTTGCACGCCGGGCTTCTGCTTGTTCACCGTGGCGTGGGTAGATTGCATGACGGTGGTGGAGGTGTGAGTTGAGGCAGTGATCTCGGACAGCTTCGCCGCGAACGTCTGCGTCGTGCTGGTAGTGACGATTTTCGTCGCCCTACCGGCGGTCATGATGGCGCTCGTGTACGACATGGTAGTTTTGGTGTTCGTCGAGGAGGCCAGCTGCGCGGCTACCGCCTGCGCACGTTTCTCCGCTGTAGGAGAAAGTTATTACGTATTAGTGGGAATTTTCGCAGTCCAGCACACACACACACACACGTGATCGTTTAGTGAAGAACGAGCTGTAGCCGCCGATATCTCTGTTTGATAATCAAAGCCACGATTTTTCAGAATGTACACCTTCCGATATGACGATCCCTCCCTCCCCCTCTTTTTCATTTACTTATAAACAGTCAAAGAGCCCCTGAAACAGTATTAGCATTAGCTCCCGAAAAATCACCATCCGCCACTGAATAGGGACAAGTGAAACATTCGACGCCTGTTAGAATTAAATCGTTGAACCGAAGCGAAAATTGAGAGACACGAGAATTGTTACGGGTTAATGTTAACGCTAGTAATGCGAAATGAATGTTTTGTTAAAAGGATCTTGGTGGAAATCTGGTTCATCCATCTTTCTATATTACCTGCGGCAACAAGTCTAGGAGCTGTCGCACGTGGTAATGCAGCCGGGAATGGGCCGGCAAGCTTAAGAGTGGACGAAGATCGCAGAGGAAGCAATTGATTTACAGTAGATACGCCCGAGGGGTATCCCGACTTATTAACTTGACTGCTGGTTGTACTGGATGCCAAACTAGGAGGTTTATTTACAGAACCGACTTTCGTTTTGCTTGCCTGGAACACAGGTGATTATTAGATCGTTGTATTATATCAATCGTTTTTGATGTATGCTTACAGCAACGGTAGAGACGGCTTTATCCCACGAAGAAGTCGTCACAACGGTAGCCTTTGATTTAGGAAGCATTTGCAATATGTCAACTTCCGGATCCTTAATGAGCGCTGTTATCAAAGTATAGGCTTGTTTCATCGCTTCGCTTGATCCCCTGTGAACAACAGATGTAAATTTTCGTTGTTCTTTCTCTCTCTCTCTCTCTCTCTCTCTCTCTCTCTCTCTCTCTCTCTCTTATTAAAAATTTAAATATAACAAGATGTATACACAAACCTGAAAAAAATTTTTCTGAGAATTCCCTGATTTTTCCAGGCAATTTGTTAAAAATTTCGAGTAAAATATTTTTAAATATATCTTGCAAATGAATATATATTTATTGTGCAAAATATTTGACATTTTTCACTCGTAGCACTTTATAAATCATAATATATTACAAGTCATAGAAAATAAAATTATGAAACAGTCGAGTTTCATGATTAAATTTGAAAAATTTTCAAAGGAACTATATAAGGACTATAAAAAAAAATTAATATTTTATATTAAATAAGACTTTTAAATTTTATTTTCAAAAGTTACGAAAAAAAATCATATAATGTATAATCGATACACAAAGCGCAATTTTCATAGATATATATCTATATAATATAGTTAGTTTCATGTGTTTTTTAAACGTAATGTAATACGAAACGTTACATTCATTTAAAGTACTTATATGAAATTAACATGTTTCAATATTAATAAGCTCGTACCTACGATTTATACAATGCTATGCCTCATTAATTAAAATTAATTAGAAATCAAGTTGTAAAATCGAATTATCTTCATCCATGATTCTTGACGAAGAAAATATTATTAAACAAAATTCAGTCAATTGCATAATATTTGTTTATGACAACACGATAAACGGTTTGCAGACAAATGTCCATTTAAATTTCCCTGAGAATTCCAGGTTTTCCAGGTTTTTTTAGGTAGTAGACATCCTGTATAATATACATGGTGTCTCGCTATAAGTTTGTATTTTTGACATTGTGTGGCGAACTTCTAACTCCTGCATATTATCAGTTGATATATAACGTTAAATATATGTTAGTGACAAAAAGGTTGTAACACTTTTTTTTATAAGTTTCGAAACGTATTGCATATTCAATAGGAGAATTTGATTTCTAACAATTCTCAAGAGAGTAACCGAGTACGAGATGGGAAGATTCGTCAAAAGAAAATGTGGCAACTTTTTTGTCACCGACTATACAGCCAATAATTTGATATCCGAGCAAATGACAGATATATGTATCAATCGCTAATGGAGCAGTCGGAAGTTAGTTACGTACGGCAGAGGAACCGAAAATGGAAAAGTTGTAGCCACCTATAAAACTTTGCGCACCGACAGAACTCTCGTAGAATTCATAAAGTAATCCCGTTACATTATACGTACATCGTTTTATTCGTCATAAACAGCGCTCTTCACAACTCTAATTATATCGAAATATCCATATTACCGTAAAAAATTATGCATACTTCTTCGTTCTCTAACTCAGATAAATTTTGGAATAATCATTGCTCACGATAGAGTTTAACTAAAACGATTTAATTTAATATATATTTCTTGTAGTCCAGCTTCTCCTATCTCTTTTAATTTAGAAAAAAGAGTGGCCACTTATAGCGGGGCACTTTGTACATAGACATGGATTTTAGAATTTGTCTCTGAGAACAGTGAGACGGTGGTATTAGATATTCACTTGATCGTGATGATTCTTTCCCCTTGACATTTGCTTTGCTTCTCAACTTCAATGTGCGCACCAGTTGCACTTCTAATGGCATTGATATTACTGCCACCTCTGCCGATTACGCGACTGATGGCGTTTGGTGGTACAGATACTTTCTTGGAACGGAATGGTGAATTCATAAATCTTCCAGAATCGTCGGATTGTCCTCTGTAAATTACAAGCACGTGACATGCAGACCAATATAATCTATGGGATTCTATTTGTATAAGAATGAAAATGACGAGTGTGCAGTCTTCGCAATTTTAACCCTTCGTTGGCACTTCTTCACTGCTTAGTTTAGTAAGCCTGTGAGACCCATGCAGTGTTATGCAGTCACTTTTCTGATAAGTTCTTACGTAAATGTGTCTATTCAATATCTAGATATTATAGTTTTGAACGCATAAAAGATAAATTTGGAAAATTTAAATCGTTACCATTATTTGTAAAATAGATAATTTAAGGTATAAGAGAAGATAGTGTATTGGTCCACAGAAAGAAAAAGATTTTACATGCTCTAAGAAAAGAATTCCATGTTTATATATATATAATATTTCAAAATTCAGCAACTATTAATCTTAAAGCTCCCATTTCCTTCGTTGCAGCCATCTGATTAGTGATATTTTAGAAGTAAAAAAAAAAGTATGCCTAAAATTCTTGCGGAATACGTTGAAATAAAAGGTATGTCTATAAAGTGATACTTATGATCGACTAAGTACATTTGCAAAATATTCCATAAACTTTCCTTTCGCTTTAACAGCCACAATAACCGGTTGAGGGGGCCGGCGAGGTATGTCGGTAATCTAGACTGTTCATGAGTTTAATGATTTTATTCTTCGCATATCTAACTATGTAATCGCTCTATGATTCGTGAAAAAGTTCACGCGGAATCATGATAAGCGAAAAGTGACGAATTTCGTTCGAAATTTGAAATGAAAAGTTTCGTACGATCGCTGCTCAGAGCGAGGCAGAACCGGTAATTGTGACTTGTTATCCGGAAATTTATGTTACTGACATGAATTAAATTTCTCACATCTCGATAACTGAGACGAATTATAGTGTATCTAAACTTCTTTACTACAGATCAAACTAATCTACATTCAAAAAAATATTATTTATTTAATTTCTATTGCAATCAAAAACATCTTGTTCGGCGATGATTTTGTTTCTTGCCACCCTTTTGTTAATTTTTACCAAATATTTTTTTCATTTAGCTCAATCTATCTATAGTATATCTATAATAACGAGTTCGATTTTACCAATTTTTCGAAAGTTCGAACTTTTCTACCCCCCTTAAGAGGATCCTGGAATCGTCCGTTTTACCGTAAATTTGTTAATACTATATTCGTTACTGGCTGCACAGAAATAAAAATCTTTTTGTACAATTATAATATATACATTAATGTAAAATGAAAAACGAAGAAAAATTTTATAATTTACAAACTTTTTTCGTTTTTCGAGTAGAGTCGATCGTCCTCGCCCGCATAAAATAAGTTAATATATTATTTATATGTTTTTATTATTATGTACATAGGATTTATGTACTCTAAATATCTATTACGCGATAACGCGTGATCGGCCGTTTTTGTGAAAACTCGCATCACGCGATATCGCGTAATTGGCAATGAACGTGTTAATGTATGTATCGTGATTGTGTAAAAGGATTATTATTTCTGTGCAGTCAGTAACGAATATATTACTAACGAATTTTCGATGAAAACAGGACGACCTCAGGAGCCTCTTATAAAGCTCAGCTCCCTCCGTTAGTCATACTGGTTTCGTCGAGTCATCTCAACTTCACCGGATTCGTCCAAATTTGGCTAAAAAATAACCTGTTATTTCAAGAATTATTTTGCGATCTTACGTGACCATATCGGCCAAATATCTCGGTTTTTCGCATATTTTATAGATTTCCAGATTACGAAATCATTATGTTTTTCGGGGAAAATTAGAAAATAAAGCTACATGTTGCATGAAAACTTACTGCAGGTCATTCCCTTATGACGTCACAAAAGCAGTATGACGAACGGAGCCGAATAGTATTTACTATTATTTACTATATTAGTAAATACTATTTTTTCGAATCCTGATCTGACTCGCTCTGCACCCGTCATCGTAAACACTCATAGTCAACGGGAAGACAAAATAACATACGACGCCTCGTGTGATACGGCGTATAATTCAGTCAGATCTTTATGTAAAAAAAAAATTATTTTCTTAATCAAATGTTTATAGACGTTTCCTAAAACTTCAATTTGTTCATCGTTATAGTTTTCTCATTAAAAAAAAAATATATATATATATATATTCCTATATATTCCTATATATAGGAATATATATATATATATATATATATATATATATATATATATATATATANAGCGCTATACATCAAGATTACCCACTTAAGGCAAATTTTCCATTACTATTATTATTACTATTAACTATTAACCCTTATCGGTCGTAAATCACCTCTCACGTGACAAGAATGCTTCGTCGCTGCGGTCGTACGTCACGTAGGAGGTGACAAGTTCGCATATTTACCGAAACCAGCTACAACCTAGTGAAAATCACGCATAAAAAGCTAGCGTCCGATAAGGGTTAACTATTTTCTGTCTTATTACTGCTATTGCTATCATTACTAATATAGAAGTTTTTATTACGAAAGTTACGACATCTATTGGACGGATCGTTACTGAACTACTTGCTAAACTGCCACTAGCTTGCTACTACTAATTCCCTTCTTTTTCCTCCACTTAACTGTATATCTGTCGCTATTCAAGTTCTATAACACGCGAGCGCCTCGTGCGACACGGTGTATAATTTAGTCAGATCTTTGTGTGAAAAAAAATTTCTTTTCTTAATCAAATGTTTATAGAAGCGTCCCTAAAATTTAAATTTCTTCGACGTTATAGTTTTCTCATAAACAAAAAACAAAAAAAAAATAAGAAACTCATAAATATACATTAACACGTTAACTGCCACGCGCATTTCGGAGGAAATCTCCGTCAGGCCAAATCCATTAAAATTTTTGATAAGAAATATTTAAGTATATTAATTATACGATCCTGAAATTACTTATTAAACTATGTAATTTTTTTAGTTTTATATCGTGCTTTGTACTGTCAGTCACCGGTGACTGACGCGGCGCGAACGGAAAGTTCAGTGTCAGTCACTGGTGACTGACGTGGCAGTTAACGTGTTAATATACACTAATTCAGCGAAAAAGAAAAGACCTAAGGTCTTGATGCGGCTTCTCTCTATCTAATTTTTTAAATGTTCTTTCGAGTGAAACAAGACTTATCCCGCTCCGTTCAAAAAATGTTGCAAAACTTTTAGTAACTGTAAACTGTAGTATCCTATAATGTAATAGCCGTAAAATTAACGTGATAAAATCGTGAAAAAGGATAAGCTACAGGAAGGTTGCATGTCATGTTATTTTATGGTTACATAGTAAGCGAAAGCTTTCTGTTTTACACTTGTAAGAGTAAAACAGAAAGCTTTCGAAATATTTTACAAGCGTCATTTCATGGACAAATTCTTTTATTTCATCTTTTTATTTTCGCAAGAATTTCGAGCATGTATTTCCTCGCTTCTGACATCATTAAGCAAGATGACTGCAGCGAGGGACCAGACATTTTTATTTTTTTCCCCTTCATGGGTCAAGCTGACCCGTGAGTGCCAAACTAGGATTAATAACGAAATAATATAAGAAAAAAACTTTATTCTCGAAATTTAAGAACATATCTTACTTTCGTACAACCTCCTTCCAGCCTTCCTCGCGTTTCCCACCTTGTTTAGGGCTGGTGGTGTTATTTGTCTTTGTCGATGTGTTTAGAGCATCTCCATCATACTGATTACTATAAGATTTTTTGCCTTTCCCAGAAACATAAATTTCGTTACCAGTTGCTTCGAAATCCTCTCTATCGGCTGGATGTCTGGAAGATTCGAAAACCAACTGATTCTTTGGTTTTCGATCAGCACAATTGTTCGTGCCGGAAGTTCTTGTGGTCGTAGCCGAAGTTGTGGATACCGACACTCCACTAGTAACATTAGTCAAAATTCTCCTGTGGAAATTATTCTCAGCTTACAAAATAAAATACACGATATTATGTAAATAAAAATCTGGCATTTGAACGTTCAATGTTTCTTCGATACAAAAATATATATTCATCCGCGTTAAATCTTTCTCTCGACATATTTAACCTTAGAAATCCTTTTCGGGAATGGCATACCCGGCCGTTTTTTCTCAAATAGATGGAATGTCTTGTCCTACCTTCCATATTCATCAGACATTGCTTCTTCTGACTATCACTTGTTCTGGACAGTATAGCACTCCTTGAAGGATAAAGAGTTCAATTCGTTGGAAGAGGTCAAAAGCCAAAAATCTGACTGGATTCATTGAGGGAAAGCTCAAGTCATTCTATGAGTGCGTAATTTTCTCTTTCTCCAAAGAAATGATAGATCAAAATGGACAATAGATTAATCATAGATCAATTGTTGATGAAACGGTGTCAATAAATTTTTGTTTCAGTGTATCGAAAATGTTCAGAATTCTTTCGGATGATCTAATATATGATCCACATAAAATTTAACCATTCCGACCATGAGTCTTTTCATTACCAAGAAAGGCTATAATCATGAAATATTTTATATTATTTATATTTTTAAAAACATCTATCTGTGTCATCGAGAGTAAATATACTTATTTTCTAGTATTTATTTTTCTCTAGATCATTAATAGATCAGCACGGTCGGATATTTGAGCCGTTTATTTTGAAAGTGACCCAAGTCCATTTATATTTAAATTAAGATATTTCAGAGTTTGCGTTTCAATAAAATTAAAAATATACGTATAGGATACCAATGTGTCACACTGCTTAAGTGTATCTAAGAGAGTTAAATTTACAATTCCTATTAAAATAATAGCAATTATTAAGTGAATGATATGTTTTCTTACCACAAGTGAAGTTAAGCCATTTTCAAAATTAATAACTAGATTTGTTATAAAATTTGAAAGAGCCCAAGTCTATTCGACATAATTTAAAATGCTTCAAGTGGAAAAAACAATACTCAATTTATTTTATATTTCTTTACAACACTTCAAAAACATAATTTATGCAATTCAGGAAATCTTCTAACCATATAAATTACATAACAATTTACTGCTCATCTACATTTTGTGTATGCGGGAGGGATTTGAAGAAGTCATGGTGGTATATATCGTAGTAAGTCCATCATGTCCTTGTATTTCGCTGTTGTAATTCGTCTTATATTTTTATAAAGTGATATCAATACAATATTTTCGCATTTTCTTGGTCTACTCCGACGTGGTAATAAATCCAGGATTTTAAACTCTGCATTCTCATCCATTGATATCTTATAGAAAATTTTATACTCGTATGGTTCATTTCTCTGTTTCTCCGTTAGAATTCTTTACCTTTTTAAAAACTATGTCCTCCAAAAATCTTGTTGATATGAAAACCTCTTGTTTCACATCATTTAGAATAAAGTTATTAACTTTCCGGCACTTTTTGATAACATTATGATAATCTTGAGGGACAAACAGTAAATTATTTTTCATTAATGACATTTCTACGACGCCAAAATCTCTCATTCGGTAAAAACGAATGTCCTGATATTAAGAATTTATAGTCTATGATTTCCATATTCAACATATGTTCAACATTTTGAACAATTTTAAGCCACGTTAAAGCTACTTTTAATGTTCCTATTTTGTCCTGCACACATGTCACTGTAAGCTATAATATGTCTTTCACTTCTTAGATTTTTAAGATGTTTCAAGATGCATGAAGCTACTTCTTGGGTACCTAGTTCTAACCTCTTGATGCAATAGTTTCATCCCAAACGTACATGTGAACATTATCGTCATGAAAATTGTGAATATCCAAATTTAGAACGTACATATTACGTTTATAATAAGCTACTGAAGTAGTTAACTTTGGATAAGGTAATGCTTTTTGCAAGTCGAAAGAAAAAGCGAAATAATGATCTGAATTATGTAATACTAGTTCTTGATCTTCTTTTAATGACTTCCTAGCTGATTCTGCTAACCTTAAATGGACATCATGTTCTTCTATAAGTTTTCTTCATCTTCATCCTCATCGATGCTTTAATTTTTATGTTTAACACATTGCATGCGGGTATATTTCGCCGCGGACTTACGCATGTTGCGGGCGTTTTTTCGTGAATTTCGCGGGAGTTTGGTATTCAGCAAAATCGCAATAAATCGATAACTACTTGGGTTTTTCTCAATGAAACTTTTTTTATTTTACACTTACATATACGCTCTACGATTAAAAAAAAAAACGTACACACAATGCCCATCGTATTTGTACAATACTCGCTCTCCAGTACAAATCTACTAAATACATACTTTTACGTGACCCGCGCTCTAGTGACAGACTGCAAAAGTAAAAGTACGTTTCCTGCATGCAATGTGTTAATAGGTCGCATTTTTGGCATGTATCTTGGCGCGGTGGAAATGTAAATTAAAATATTTGTTAAATATTTTTCTGTAAGTCCACTCAATAACTGCTTTTATATTGTTTTCCTTGCAATGAAGCTCGTATAAATTAAACATTTTTTTTAGAGTTAGATCAGGATGTAGATATTTTCTGTTAGGGTTATGAGATCTGATACAATGGAGTTCAAATTTGGAAAAATTTTTAATATGGTTTTAAACATGCTTTTTCTCTTCCTCAGACACTTTTCTCGATGATCCAACCATACGCCCATGTAAATCATTTCGTACATTTGCAGAGTTTAATACACGTTTTAATCGTCCTTCACTTATTTTAAAGGTATCCAAAAAGAACGGAAACTTTTCCTTTTTCAGAATATAACAAATACCTAAAACTATAATTTCTTGGCGAACCTTTTCCGTTTTCTTGACGTCTTCGTTTCACAGCATAGTGCTCGGTAGCTTCGTATAGTAATACATTTTGTTTATTAAAATCTCCCAAATTCCGAAACTTCTCAAAAGTATTCTTTCTTTCTTCTTCTTCGTAATTTGTTATGCATTTCAACAACGGCAATCTTTGTTTTGAAAAACTTTTGCAGGTATAATGTTTCTAGTTCGAGTATAATATCTTTTTCCTGTATTCCGTTTAATTTTTCGCACTTTTTGGATGTATGTGTCACCATTCTTTTCTCTGTTGTTATCTGTATCTTCATCCTCTGATGACGAATGTTGTTCTACAATTCTCATTCTTTTTCGTTCTTTGTTGAAGTTACTGATTCGTCTTCACTCCCTGAATTAAACGGTCTTGTTGTTTTATTTTCCCCATGGGTGTAATAATTTCTATAATTTAATATTTTAAGTTTAAATTCAATTGTAAGTGTGAATTGCGTGAATTTTTTTTTTCACTGCATTAAACGTACTGATTATTCAACTAAAGCAACTGTCCAAAAAGTGAGGTTAATTTTTTAAATATTAATTAATACTAATTAATTAAGATTACCTTCATCCTTTTGTAAGTCACTGCCTTCGGACACTTGAAAATCCGCACTTTCGGACATTATCAATAATGGATTGGACTTAGGCCACTTTCAAAGTAATGTTTTTAATTATTGAAATAACTGCGAAAATTTGTGTCAAAATTTATCGTATACTCTGAATATACTTAACTGCAAAATGTTGTTTGTAACAACTAATTTCAAGTTGTACACGTTACTACAGTCAACAAAAAACAATTGACAAATGGACTTAGGCCACTTTCAAAATATTAGGTTGGTAAGAAAGTTATGTCGTTTTCCTGTTGTTCCAATTGAAATGTTCATTATTTCGTTGTTCTTTGTGCGATTTAGACAATTTTGGTATTAATCGAAAGCTAATAGTTTTAATTTCTGATATTACAGGTGTTTTTTAATCATTAAATTTTGAGAAATAAGGGAATATGATGGATCAAGAAAAACTTCATTTTATTAGGCACTCTATTTTTTATAAGTTCCAACTTGGTCATAATGCGACGGAAGCTCATAAAAATTTGTGTTTCGTCTTTGGACCATATAAAGTTAAAGTGCGTACGGTCCAAAGATGGTTTGAAGAATTCAGGTCAGGTGACATGAAGCTTCAAGATGAACCTCGCACCGGAAGACCAAAGGAGCTTGATGACGACGTTCTGAGGGCTTTAGTGGGTAATAAACCACTATTGACTATGAAGGAGATCGGGGATAAATTAACCGTTAGCTACAAAACAATTGAAAACCACTTGAACAAACTTGGTTTTGTCTATAAATGGTGTCGTTGGATTCTCCGTGAATTAAGCGAAAAAAATATGACAGATCGAATTTCTATTGCTTCTTCTTTGCTTGCTCGACAACAATATGAGCCATTCTTGGATCGCCTGGTTACTGGTGACGAAAAGTGAATTGTGTATGACAATGTAGTGAGGAAAAGACCAAGGTAATGCCAGGCAGTTCGCCTCCACCCTTGCGAAGGCCAATTTGCACCAAAAAAGCTAATGCATTTGGTGGGATTGTCGAGGTCCTATCCACTGGGAACTGTTGCAACCAGATCAAACGGTCACAGCAGACCTATAGTATGATCAGCTAATCCGACTGGATACAAAAATACGTGAACTTCGTCCAGCACTGTATAACCGAAAAAGTGTTGTCTTCCAACATGACAATGCCAGGCCTCACGTGGCTTTAACACTTTAATGGCCGCTCACACAACATGTGTGTGATAGCCGGAACAATTGTTATTGTCCGCTCACACAACATGTATGTGATGCTACCGCCGAAGAAAATATTGCCGGTTCCTGGCGACGTTTGACTGCGTAGACGTGCGGCCATTAAAATGTTAAGGACGAAGGAGAAGCTCCAGGCTCTTGGTTATGAAGTTTTATCACATCCACCATACTCACCTGACCTGGCACCATCTGACTCCCACTTGTTCCTCTCGATGCAAAATTTTCTTAAAAGAAAAAAATTCCGAAATTTTCAAGATTTCAGAGGGCAGTGGTAGATTTCGTGGCTTCAAAGGATAAGATCTTTTATACATCCGGCATAAATGACCTTGTTGACAGATGGAGGAAGGTCATAGAAAACAGTGGTCAATATTTCATTATTTAATCACACTTACGAGCTTAAATATAAGAAATTGAAATTTCCTCCAAAAAAAAAAAAAACGTAACTTTCTTACCAACCTAATAAATGGCTCATTTGTATATATTGCGCGCCTATGTCTGTTCCATAAGTGGCATGCGCGCATTATTGTTTACTTTTTTGCATTATTTTTTAGAATAAAAACAAGCGTAAAATACTTTTACTACAGCCTCCTCATGGCATACTTCGAAGTCGTGATTTATATCATCAGCAAATGCACAAAGATAATCTGTGCTTATAATGTTCAAAAATATTTGTTAAACTTTCATTTGACTTAACAAAAAATATTACGAAAGCATAATCTTAATTCCCAAATTAACGCAGAAAAATAAGATCTAATAAAACAAAGTAAATTAAGGTGCGTATTAAACAGAAGACAGTAATCGGGAATTAAAAATTATTTAATTTTAATATGAAATTCGTATTCCTTAACATCGAAAACGCGAAATTTGTGACTTTTTAAATTCAATAATACATCTTTCGCGAGGAAATGAGGCGAGTTCTTTCTGATGCAAGAATGCACGTAATAGTGCGTACGTGCCACTTACAGGATGGATATAGGCGCACGCAATATTGCGCATGTGCCACTCAAGCGGTTAAATAGATATGTAATAAGGTTTTTGTCCCATTTCATTGGACATTGGCCAAAAAAACTATTTATAAACGTTTAAAATATAACATTCTTATGTATAAACAACAAAGTGTCTATTCAAACCAAAAAACAAATTCCCTGAGAATTCCTTGATTTCCCAGGCAATTTGTTAAAAATTCCAAATAAAATGAAAACATTTTTAGATATATCTTGCAAATGAATATACATTTATTGTGCAAAGTCTTTAATGTTTTCCATTCATAAAAGTTTATAAATCATAAGATAAAAAGAAGAATTCTTCGAGTTTCAATGATTAAATCTGCAAAATTTTGAAAGAAACTGTAAAACCTTTAAAAAAATATATATATATTTTATATTGCATGAAACTTTAAAATTTTTCTTCCAAAAGTTAACAAAAAATTGTGTAATGTATAGCCAGTGCAAAAAAAATGCAACTGTTATAAATCTATTAACCCTTATCGGTCGTAAGTCACCTCTCACATGACAACAATACTTTGTCGCTGCGGTCGTACGTCACGTAGGAGGTGACAAGTCGGAACCTTTCGAAACTCGCTCTCTGTCAAATGCGAGTACGATTGTCTTGTCAGTTAAACATAAGCAACGGAGCAATTGACATCTCCAGTGATATATCACTACCTTTTGTATTCAATTTTTTAATATATTGAGCCCAAAAATGAATAAAGAAAATTTTATAAATTTCGATAGTGACAGTGGCAGTGAATGTTTTGAAAACAATTCTCAAAGTGATTTTGATTCTAGTGATGAGACTAGCAGTCACATCTTATTACATCCTAAGAAAAGTTATGCCTATAAAATCTTCAAGTGAAGAAGAAAATGATGTAGAAATAGAAAATGTTGATAACTCAGACGATGATTGGATTGAAATCGAGAGTGATGATGATGGTCTCCATAATAGGATTCCTTTTACAAATATCAATATTAAAAACTTATAAATAATTATTTGAGACTCATATATTTGTAATACTCCTTCAAAAAATAAATAATTCCTAACAAAAATGTTATTTTTATTATACTGAAAATTTCTTGCATATTTACCGAAACCAGCTACAAACCAGTGAGAACCACGCATAAAAAGCTAGCATCCGATAAGGGTTAAAATATAAATATTTTTCTCAATTTGAACAAAATTGTACCTAACACAAAATCGTTGTTTTCAATATTGAATATCAGATCAGTCATAAAAATCACTGTAACATTACTCTAAAATTCAGGGTAAAAATTATTGTAAATCATTCTAAAGATCAGAGTAATATAATCCCTGAAATTATATAGTACGTAGATATAGAACACAAAAGAATATATTATAAACATAAAAGAAATGCTAATATTTAAATATTAAATATTAACTTAAAAACAATTTTAAGGAGATGTTAAAGTGTGACTGTTGAACTCCGACAGGAGTGTTGTTAATCAAGTAATTGGTAACATTACATTACATAATCGACAATCTTGACGAACTGAGATCTGAATCTGAATTCGACGCATCAACTATTCGCGTAAAAAAA